AAAATGTACAAGCCATTTCTTATCCAATTTAACATTTGACTGGAGGTCTTTTCGAGAAAAGTTGACAATTTCAGTTATTTAGCGTCTAAATAAAAGCTGAAAATATAGATCTCAGTCAGTTGATGTTGAATCTTGTTAAGGAATCTAATCTAATCTTTTTTTACGACAAAACTCTCAAGAGACGCTCCATAAATTGCGCTCTCCAGAGGATTTTCAGTGAAACATTTATTTAATTTGTACTTGTGTTTATGACGATGTGCGTGTATTTACTGTATTTTCATTTATATGCGTATACTTAGAAAAAATCTTTATATCTCAAGACTGCATATGTTTATTAATGTTCAAGTGTTAACAAAATCTTTTTTTTTTCTCTCATGTTTACCGAAACTAATTTATGGAGCTTTTAATGGAACGTTTTTATGACATCTCTTTGATGGACTGTAAATATTATATTAAAAGTAAAATTTCAATAAAATGTCGAGATCGATACGATAAACTGAAAGAATGAATAAATTAATTTTAACACGAAAGCTATCATCACTTGCATCTCTAGAATATATAATAATATAAACAGTTTTTGAAACATTAATCTCTACAATGGTCATCTACTAGTAAAGTATTTCAGGTGGAAAGCAAACTATCATTTTGAGGTCGCCAAAAATATTTACACGGTGGATAGAAAGACTAACTTATATAATGTATACAACAGTTGCAACCCATCGACTTTGACAACCATTAATCGTTGACACATCTCTTAAAACACCTAGAACTTCTCAACGCACACTTCCCCGGTTTTGAGATGCGTTTCTTCTCTTTTTCCTCTTAGTCGAGTGTCCCTAGCTCCACTTTGCATTATTTAGATTGTTCGGACGGTTATCCTCATCTTTATTGCCATATTCACGACATTTCGACCGTTGTACGCTCCGGCCTTCATCAGGTGATTGAAATATCGAACTGAACCCTTTATTTCGCCCACCGGGGTAGATTGTTCTAGTTCCACGTGCCATGCCTCTTCCGGATGTCTCAGTTATTTCCCTTTAACTCAACTCTCCAAGTTTTGGTTCACCACTGCAGTAGTCAAGTATTGAACTTATAACTCTTTGGGATAAGTCACTGGATCCAACCAACGCTTTTATCCACTGGACCTTTTGTCGAAAATAAAAGGGTTCAATTCGAAATTCCAATCCCCTGAAGAAGCCCGGCGCGTACAACGGCCGAAACGTCGTGAATATGGCAATAAAGATGAGGACAACAGTCCGAACAATGTAAATAATGTAAATAATTAGAGTACGTCCTCTCAGAAATATAGATAGATCCTGAAGAAGGCCGGTGCGTGCAACAGCCGAAACGTCGTGAATACGACAATAAAGATGAGGGCAACAGTCCTAACAATGTAAATAATATAAATAATTAGAATACGTCATCTCAGAAATATAGACATATCCTGAAGAAGGCCGGGGCGTACAACGGCCGAAACGTCGTGAATATGGCAATAAAGATGAAGCCACCATCCGAGAAATATAAACAAACATCCACTAGCTTTGTTGAGTAATACCAACCTTAATCGCCATCCGGCTTTCTTTATCCTCCTCAGTTGGAGCCGGTGTGTCGTCTCGCTAGGGTTGATTCGGGTTTCCCAAAAACATTACGATATTGAGATTGACAGCGAAGTCTAGTGTGAATCCCTTGTGTACCATAGACAAGATTGCATAATTCCTGTCTATGGCAGTGATAAATGTTTGTCACTTTCGCTTCAGAACAGCTCCGATCAAACTGGAATAAGAACTCCTTCAATAAAATGCACAATACTGTTCATAAATCCAACAGACTTAGTAAATATAAAGAAAAACTGTTTGAATAAAATGCCTCTATTATCTTTTTCAAATCAAAATATTCTACTGCAGGAGTTATGGTTTGGAGATTCTGGACACAACCGTTAAAGTGATGCCCAGTCAATCGACTCTCACTCGATGCTTTGGTTGTGCGCGTGTCTGTGTTTTCGCATCGGCCCGGGAATTGTGGGTGTGCTCTTTAACGACGACTGTCTTACAAGCAACACCGAGCCGACCTCACCTGGTTGGGTCGCTTCCCTCACTCAGAAAAAAATGTCCAGTAAGCGAAATGCGCGCTGGCTTTATATAGGGAAATCTTTTCTAATAACATGGATTAATGCCTTCCTTTACCTAGACAGGCCCCAGTAAATGACCAGTCATAATTCCCAATTTCATTATATCTATATTCCTGCAAATTGGTCAGCTGGCCTTCTTATCGGTGAGAAATTCTTCACCAGAAACCCAAAATAATGATAGCTATAAAAATTGCAAACGATTGTAGCAGAGAAAAAGCACATCTTAATCTTAGGTGATCTTGCTAACTGACATTTCCTTTGTATATTCAAAGTCTTCTTCTGTAAAAGTAATTGAATTCGTCGGGCAATCGACGTAACTAAATCCTCAAATCTTAGGGATTATCACAAAACAGATGTCTTGTTTCTTTGTCTAAAATAATTTAGATCATTATTTCCTGTGACCACCCACATTTTATGCAGGTACTGTAGTGTAAAAGAAAAAAACATCGACATTCTAAGTTCTCCAGAACCTAAGGAATTTGGACAATACATTAATCGTCTTTTTCTTATCGGTGGCTGTCCTGGGTAAGACGATAAACTACATCCGCGTCCTGGGTAAGACTATAAACTATGTCCATCAGCAAGGCCTCTGATCAGGAGGTTTTGAGGAGCGTGGAACCACCTCTTAATTGCTGGTGTTCCCAGGGCCACCCTGATCCGGGGTGGTAGCACCTGTTAGGGTCCCAGCTATGGGCAAATAGTTAACCCCCGAACTGGGGTCAAAACATTATGAAAGTGTAAAGAACAGGTTTTAATACCAGCAATATATTTTTGTGAAAATTATTACCAGCAATGAATTTTTGAAGAAAAAATATTAGCGGCAAATACATTTTTGAAAAAAAAATATTAGCAGCAATAAAAATCTTGTCGGCATTAAATAACCCATTGAAGTGTTGATATGCCGTAAAACAAATCAAACCAAAGATTGTTATCGGTGGAAAGTGGATAGGGTAGCGTATCTGAATTTTGGTGAATTTTACTTAATCTTGTCTCGTTAAATCTGAGTTTGAATCTTCATGGAAATGTACTTAATATCATTTTATTATTTTAGAATATAAATTTTAACACGTTTTTTAATTTTTCTTCTCAACTATTCAATCCACTCTCTTGAGAATTTTAACAATTATCCAATTATTATTCCTTCCAAATTACCATCCTGTAATTTTACAAATGTAAACGTTTCAACAGAGACTCTGCCCTGTTAACAGTAAATACACATGTATCTATGTGTGTGAGTATGTGTTAAAAAGAATAGATATTTTATAGTTTTTGAAGCGATTATGTGAACATTATTTGAAAATAATTGTTCAAAAACAATTATTCGAATTGTATATTGGTTAAATAAAAATGAATGAAAAGGACAATTATACTAAATGATAATTATTCGAGATGCAAAATTATTTATTGCAATAAAAATGTAAAAATTAAAAGAGGAAATACACAAATGATAATTCGAAATACAAATATCGTTAATAAAACAATTTAGTAAGAAAAATATCCTTATAATCTTAAGTTATATAATTCTGCACGTCAACTACTGAAGATTACACTTTAAAGGATGCCATTAATTTTTTAAGTTTTCTTGTCGCCGTATTTCTTGTACTCTTGATATTTTGGCAACCTGTTCTTAATTTTGCAATATCAATTTCTTGCAAGTCCTGTTCTCATTTTAAGACAATCTAAGAATTTCCATATTGTGGAATGATGTGATGAAACTTGTTGCAAAGAAGGCCTATGTCATCCTTCAACGACGTTATTAGTTCAAGGTAAATCAGGATTGATTCCCTGAAAACAAAAACGACATATGTATTTCCAATGTACGTATTTCGAATAATTATCATTTAATATAAAATTTCCTTTCTATTAATTTTCATTCAAACAATTTACAATTCAAATAAATGTTTTTCGTACAATTATTTTCGAATAAATTTTTCGATATGTTTGAAGCAATTTGCAATCAACAAAAACAATCATCCATTGATAAAAAAAAAATATTATCTAAAGCAGCGATACTCAACGTCGGCCTTTTGGGCTACAAGTGAGCCTGAGAATTTTTTTAAATGGGCCTGGAGTTGGCTCAAGAAAAAGACATTGCACGGTACACTTTTTTCCCGGTACACGCTTTTATCGTGACTTCCTGTGTTCTAATGTAATGGAATTAAATTTCTAACAAAATATAACGACATCTTTAAAAAAAAATGTCTTTCTCACTCTTGACGATATCTCATGTGAGTCAAAATCTTGAACCTAACACAAATTTCGGAAATTTTTTTACATCAACAACAGCCACAACTGCGAAAAGGGATAACATTTTAGAAAATAAAAAAGATTAATAAATTTAATAGACATAAAATGTCTATTTCTAATAAGACTTACTTGGACGAACTGCTGCTGCCAAAATATATGGAACATATCGCCCGGTTC